GAATCCTTTTTCATAAATAATTAGCACATATCTTTTAATCATTAATATTGCGGTAATTCACCGGTGTTAATTCGTCTTCTTCTCGTATAATAATAACGGTTGATATTATTGAATCGGTTGTATGGTAATTTCTTTACCACAACATTTTTATTAAGGAAAAGAAAAATCACCAGTCGATTCATTAACGAAAGTGTCCAATGAATTCTTAATTACATCGAATGCGGTCGGAAACGACTGTGATGCGCGAGATTTTCGGCGCGAAGTGAAGAGGAAGAGAATATAACGGCAACAACCAAGAGAAAATACCGAACAACGACGATGTGGATGCGGTGTGGAGCCGCAGGCAGTAAAACGATTCATTTGTCGTTTGATCGTCGCCTCTACCACGGGCGACCACCCTTCAAAGGCAGCAGCCGCCCCGTTCAATGAAAGACAATCGGCGGCACCGCCGAAGCCGCCGCGACGACAACAAAAAAAACAACATTAATGTAATCTATTAAACGCGTCAATTAACAGCCCTGCAACGAACCGCAAAACTCGTAGGATTCACAATTTCTACGCGCACAATTTTAAAATTTTCTATCTTATTAATTCTGAAAACAAATATATATCCAATTTCACATACAGGTGTATTATGGTTACAAAATAATACCCACATAACTAATAAAAATTAACATTTAAAACTAAATACCATGAAATTGTTTAAATTAGTATTTGCAGGCTCTATCTTATTCTCAACAATCTTTATTTGAAATGTTTACTGATATATTAACTATTAAGATAAAATCAAAGTTATGACAGTTTTACATCATTTCGTACCTGTAATTTGTTTAGTTTCTTCAAATTGATTTAGTTTTCCTATGACAGCATTAATGATAAAGTAGCCTTTTTTAATTGCTATGTTTATGTTTGTGCTTATTGGAAAATTATGATACTTAAAATACACATAACATTTTTAATCTAAATTTATAAATGGCTGAAATATGGATCCCCAAATTTGGCTAAATTAAAAGAAAACATACATTTCTTATTAAAAGTAACATTTGGAGATTTTGAGGAGGATCCAGAAAGGTGAAACTGGATCTCACTGAAATCCTTAACTTTCCCCCGAGAAATAGCTACGTCAGGTTTTAAAGTAAGTAATGAGCGATGGTTTTTGCGAACGCTAGTGGTGACCGTATTAGTAATTGGACAAGGTAAGAAACCAAGATGTATCAAAAACATATCCCACCTTCCTCTGGATAATAATTCACAGAAAATGTTTGATGATGCTTTTGAGATGATGTCCTTCCACTTCACTAATCCAGCCAATGGATAAAGGTGTCGTTCAAAAATAAAAGAGAATGTAGAGACTAAGGCATTGTTCCTTTGGTTGAAGTGTCTGGAGATTAAAGTAGCAGTGAAAGTAGGGAAGATCTTGCAAACAGCTGTCATGACAGTGTACTATCCCATGCTAAAGCATTTAGGACGTTGGAAACAGCAATGGTTTGATACGAAATACATCCGGGATGTAATAAAGTCCAACTTTTGTTATTAGAGCGAATGAAGGACTTAATAGGCATTGCCAAATGAGAGAAAAGTGGGTTGTATACATTTCTTGTCGAAATTTTTACTAAAAAAGAGGACAAAACTGCCTCAAGGAGTACGCTTGGCCACTTTTTTCACAAATTACACTCATATAGCGATCCTGGTTCTATTGATTTTTATTATGTTAATGTATTGTATTCTGTTGACAAAATATACAGCAAATTTTATACCCAGTGTACGATGAGTATACACCGTGTGTATTTTACACGAGATCCCAGAATAAGAGTAAGTATAATTGTAACTTTAGAATCTAGACAAAACGATCAACATGGAAATTTCTTACCATCAAAACACTGGATGACAAAGATAATATTCATAAAACCGTGCAACGATGGCATTAACTTTTACCCGTAGTTTCCTATCTACTTTCATAGCTGATATCTTCCTTATTATTAGAGATAGCGAAAAACTAAATACACCATTTGAAAGTATGATTCTTTCTCTATCTAAAACCTCTGTACTTAAAGTAGCTCAAAATTACCAAACTTCAAGCCTTTGTGGAATTGTTATCAAACCGAATTTTAAAAAACTGTTATCACAGTCAGAAAGGGTGCTGCTTCAACTATCTTAATCCGTTTTCGTCGATCAATATCTATCGGCGTCATGCTTAAAATCACCCTTAATATACATTCCTACACGCAGAAACGCTTAATAAAATTGCTCTTCTTCTAAACAACTTTCTTATTTGATAGGGAGAAAACTATAAAAGTATATCTATCTTATCGAAAATTTTCTGTTCTTTCTAATGGTTTATAACACGCTAATGTTTTTGGCCAAAAACTACTAAATTCACACGATTTAGCCACTTTTAAGCCTTGTTCGGGTCGATAACTTTCTTATATGTTATTTGTTCTCTAGAACCATATCTATCTTATCGAAAATTTTCTGCTCTTTTTACTGGTGAATAACGCGCGGCGATCACTCATTTGCACAAGTACGCTTTGGTTATAAACTACTAAATGCACACGTTTTCGCCACTTTTAAACCTTGTTCGGGTCGCTAACTTTCTTATATGAGCAGGAGAAAACTCTCGAATCATATCTATCTTATCGAAAATTTTCTGCTCTTTTTACTGGTGTATAACGCGCGGCGATCACTCATTTGCACAAGTACGCTTTGGTCATAAACTACTAAATGCACATGTTTTCGCCACTTTTAAACCTTGTTCGGGTCGATAACTTTCTTATATGACCAGGAGAAAACTCTCGAATCATATCTATCTTATCGAAAATTTTCTGCTCTTTTTACTGGTGTATAACGCGCGGCGATCGCTTGTTTGTGCAAGTACGCTTTTGGCCAAAAACTATAAAATTCACACGTTTTAGCCACTTTTAATCCTTGTTCGGGTCGATAACTTTCTTATATGACCAGGAGAAAACTCTAGAACCATATCTATCTTATCGAAAATTTTCTGCTTTTTCTAGTGGTGTGTAACACGCTGCGATCACTCGTTTGCACAAGTACGTTTTTGGTCAAAAGTTAGAAAATTCTTTCTCTATCTAAAACCTCTGTACTTAAAATAGCTCAAAATTACCAAACTTCAAGCCCTTGTGCAACTGTTATCAAATCGTATTTAAAAAAACTGTTATTATAGTTAGAAAGAGTGCTCCTTCAACTATCTTAATCCGTGTTTTCGTCGGTCAATATCTATCGGCGTCATGCTTAAATCACCCTTAATATACATCCCTACACGCAGAAACGCTTAATTGCTCTTCTTCTAAACAACTTTCTTATTTAATAGGGGGAAAACTAGAGAAGTATAACGTTTTTACCCAAAAACTACTAAATTCACACGATTTAGCCACTTTTCAACCTTGTTCGTATCGATAACTTTCTTATATGACGAGAAAAAAACTCTAGAACCATATCTATCATATCGAAAATTTTCTGCTCTTTCTACTTAGTGGTGTATAACACGCGGCGATCGCTCGTTTCCACAAGTACGCTTTTGGTCAAAAACGATTAAATTCACACGTTTTAGCCACTTTTAATCCTTGTTCGGATTCTTATATGACCAGGATAAAACTTGTGCTCTTAATTAATTTTGTAATTTTGGTAATTTTGAGCTATTTTAAGTACAGAGCGGTGTTCTTCATTTTTTATTGATCTTAGTATCAACTTATCGTCAGATGAAAACCCGGTTTTAGATAGAGAAAGAATCAAGCTTTCAAATGGTGCATTTCCAAAAGTTTGTTGCTGGGAGGTTTGTTGTCATAGTCGCACGGCTTTTTCATAATATTCTTTTTACATTTGAGATAGGAATTTCGTTATAAAATAAAAAAATTAATAGAATTAACAAAAAAAAATCTATTTTTAGTGTTGAATTTCTATTTGAGTTTGAGTTTAAAGAATCGTCCCCGGTGTGTCCTTTGTGCGAAGCGTCGTAAAGGCGACCGGCAATCACTTTATCTAAACCGCACCGCATCAACGCTTCATTTTGCGCGGCCGCCCTGCGGCTGATATATCAATCGTAATTCGACATAGGAAATCGCGCTCTGTGACTGCACATAAGATACACAGAGACCCCCTTCGCCGGTCGTCGTCAAGGGCCCCCTTCTCAATCGGCCCGACTCGAAAATTCACACATACATTAGTTATTATAGGCGCGTTCTCGTCATCATCATCGTCTTCGTCGTCGTCGTAGCCGGTGAAGAAGGTTTATTAGAGAGACGACGATATCACCACAGACAGAATCCTTAGAATCGCACAAGGAATTAATTAATTAATCAATCTTCTAATAACCGCGACGTCTTTTAGATTAGGTGCTTCAAAGAAGATATCGTCGCGAAAGCTATTTTTGCTTCTTCATTCATGGTTCTAAGAAACTTTTAATTGAAATCGTCTTATCTAAATCAACTAAAAAAGGATACGGTTAGAATGGATCTATAATTGTTATGATATAAATGTATTACCATTACATAAATATTTCATCAATAGCAACATCTTCTTTTAAAATTGTAAACAAATCTTTAAAGTTAGTTCAAATATTGGAAGATTGTAAGCGAACTTGTAAAACCACTTAATGAGAAAAAGAGGTTGTTTGCAGACCGATTCAAAGTAAACAACGAGAGTTCATCGATGACCGCTGTGCGACCCAAAGAGGGCGCCTTCCCCCCAGCGTCCCCCTAAAGGAAACGTGCCGGAATGAGCGGGGCATGCGTCAACGGCGTGTTTGTTGTCGGCCGGGGAACGTCGCGGTTATTAATATTTAATATGCCGCCCGCCGGACTCAAACCAGCGCCCGATTGATCACCGATACGCCACGTTGAATTGCAGATAAACTGCCCGAGCCGACTTTTTTAATATTCGCCACTCGAAATCGACACCAGATTGACGACTGTGAAAGGTTATCGATCCTTTCAACGATCATCATATTAACTACTTAAACTTTTTAAATCAAAATTATTAAATGTATAAAGTTTCTCTTAGCAATCAGCATCTCTTCAAAAGATGTGATATCACTGATCCCCATTTTTGACATAACGACATAACATTTATATTTTTTTATGAATTATTATAATATGTAATTGAATATGTAAGAATACTAAGAATGATTTTGTTGTTGGCGTTTACAACATCATCGAAACGAGCGCTATCAGAAATCTAACTGTAAAGCCGCTCGCCGACTGAAGAAGAGGAGAGCAACCAAGAATTCTTGGTCCCGCCTATTCAATTGTTTTCCTGAAGACGTCGGGCCGTGGTCGTTCTTTGTCTCTTTGTCGTCGGTCCGATGCTGAAATTACGAATCGAAGACGGGCAGCACGTGCCAGACGGCGGCGGGCGGGTGCACCTCTATGCATGAATATGGCATCGCGGTGGACACGAATTACAATTAACCTAAGGTGCATCACGCGCGCCGAACTCTAAATTCAAGGCCAAAATTCCAACGAATACCACCGATGACTTATCGGCACAATCTTAACAATTGACTTAACACATCTTGCATCACAATTAATATATTTGTGTATATCTAAATATAGGCAACTTAATTATCACTATTTTCAATACACCAAGTTTATTTAGCAGATTACAACAAAAGTTGTATCTCAAAAAGCTTTCACATTTCTTCTTCTTATCATTTTTCGATAAACGGCAATTATACGTATTTTAATTGAGGCAACTCCTTGTCATTAATTACGACGTTCAAAAAGCGGTAAATAAAAGAGGAGTTGTTAATCGGCATTCGTCGGGGAGGCTGGAAGGAATAAGATAGAGATAGAGAAAGAAAAAGGGAAGAAAAAGATACAACGGGATCTCGTATATGCGGCGGCCTCTCCATCGACTGGCTCTTTGCACAGAGTCCTGAATGGCCGGAGACCCGGAGAGCTCTTTACCGATTCGAGGTAATTTACAATGTCGTGCATCAAGATTCCTGCCCGTATTTATTTACTTATGAAATTTAATAGGTACGAACCTTGTTATTACCGGCGCGATAATCTATCGTTGCAGACCTAATGCCCGTTTACAAGAATGCCCCGATGGTCGTTCTTGTAATTTATGTACAACGGCAAATGTAATAAGAAGGAAAATTAGAACTGTTATCGAAAAGATTATTTTTTATTTTGCTAATTTGCCATTAAACTGGATATACATATCATTAAAATTAAGAATAAAAGGAATGTATTGAAATAGTATCCATTAATAAAAATAAATTTGAGACTAAATTTTACCTTAGGATGGTGTCAGTTGATATATTCTGATTAGAAAGTATCAAATTGTCCTTATAACATCAAAGATTAGATTCAACCTAACCCCAAATAAATTTAGGCCAAAAAGAATCTTGCGAACAATCTAAGCAAGCAATTTGATTGATCTTCAAATTCTGTTTTAGTTAGTGTATGAAACATATTCTGTGTTACAACGTAATATGTACCTTTAGGACATTTTTTTAGAAATTTTGTATTTTAAGTTAAGCTAAGGTACCTTGGTTGCCCAATGTTGTACAGGGTGGCCAAATAAGCGTGCAAAGTACTGTATGTCGGAAACCACTCCTTGTAGAGACTTGCGGTAAAAAATGTAACGACTAAATCGACTAGGAAACAATAGAATGCTCTCAAAAGTCAGGTGAAGTATCTTCTAAACTAAGGCATTTTAAAAAATTTAAAAAAAAATTGATCGAAATGCATCAAATTTTCTTTCTCATAATATCGAGGTACAGTTTTCACTAGCTTGTTTGGGATTCATTTTTCTGTTTTTTCATGAAAAGAAAGTAATACCAATAGATTTAACATTGCTAAGAAAATTCACAATATCTATTGTAATATCGAAAAATGCCCTCTAGTGCTGATGCATTAACTTACAATCACTACAAATAAGGTAGGATTTGTAGTCCAAGAAAAGCTCTTTTCAACGATACCAAGTTTATTAAAATCCGTTTAGCCATTTTGAAATTATTGGCATTTGTTTACAAACAAAAAAACTATAATTTATATAAGCTTTAAAAGGGATATAACTTTTTTTATGTTAATATAGCTGAAATCCGAGAAAACCAGCCGCTTTAGTTATTACATTTTTTACCGCAAGTCTACAATGGTGCTTTCCGAGATACAGTCAGTGTTGCCGCACGCAAGAAAATAAATGTACCAAAATTCGTACTGAAAATGAAAAAAACATACTGAATTGAGACAGAAAATTGAGGAGATCCTTTTTTTAGTAATAGGATAAAACAAAACTTGCAAGAAGTACTAAAAATTGCGATTGAATAAATTGTGGGAAGATCAGAAACGGTCAAAAAAAGCATTCCTAAAAATGTACCGATTAAAAATTTTGTACTGAATTGCTACTTTCACGTACTTTATCCATGAAATCGTACTGAATTCAGTACAATTGTACCGAAACGGCAACACTGGATACAGTGCACCCTTCTTTGGCCATCCTGTACAGTTATGATATCAATTATAGCGTCTCGGTCGCAAACGACCTTGGGTTAATCTCATTGAAGACAGACTATTACACCGAGGGAATGACTAACAGTTTTTGGCTTTTACTATAGATTCAAAATCTATGATTGTCATGGCGGCAAACACACTAAAAAGTATGTTATTGTTATTCGCCAATATCGATGGGTCAGAGAAGCTACCAAAGAACTATAAAAGGAACAAAAACTCCTGAATTTATTGCTTATTTTTTTTATGCTACAAAACACTCTGATTGTGGGATTGAACCTTTATAACTAGAATCTCGGATTACTGGGCTACCTTTACTTTTTTAATTTTCTATTTACTCCAATAGACGAAATTATTGTAGTACTAATCTATCACGTTTGACTTCATGTTCATTGAATAAAATATCAAAAAGACTCAATCAAATCCCAAATATTTGTATTGATAGTTTTCAATAGATATTTTTAGATGGATTAGTTCTGGGTTAATTGGAGGTCAGATAATATAGGTTAAAAGAGCTTCTTATTAATAAGCATCGTTCCATTTTTGATTTTAAAAACGGGGTCGACTATTGTTCTGATGGCTTCGAAGAATTTTTCCGTTAGCTCAGGGCGACCGGTGTCGATTGAGTCATTACGACTCTGTTGTTGCCTCATGAAATTGAAATTTTATCAATGTTAATAAAATGAGCGACCTTATAATTAGCCTGATGCCTCTTTCTTCCGGCGGCGCTTTTCCCCCTCCCCTCTGCGCCTCACCGTGCGAATCTTGATTTTTAACAAAACTAATCACGATTAATATTATTATTATTATTCCGATATTCTCTTTGTTTCGTTCTTTAATAATTCCAGATATATTCAGATTTAGAATAATTTAGAAACGCAATTATCTTGCTGTCATAGGTGAAAGCGAATAAACCCACATACATGTTTAAAAAAATTTGATTGCATCACGGTCGTGTTTTGATGATGGGCATTTAAAGGCAGAGGAAGTTCATAAAACGAATACTACTCCTCCGTGATTTTTTTTTGTATTAGTTCCCCGCCCAAGAAAAAAGATATTGTACGCACCTGGCGACGACGACGACGTTGGGCTAAACACGAAAATTATTATTAACCCGACAATGGGAAATTATGAAACGCGTGCTTATTAACCTGGCCGATCGCACACGTGGATAAAAAGACGCACACGACGACGTTCGTGAACAATAAGGGTCTCGTCGTGCATCTTTAATTCTTTCTACCACCGCGCTGCGCTCTATACTCTCTTGTGGCGGGCAATCGGTGTCTTGTAAAGAGGTGCTTCACACCTCTTTGTCGCCATCGTTCTCGTCATTATGGATTCAACGGCAAAACTTCTTTGAAATGTCACATATACCTGATTCAAATCTATTAAGTTTACGAATTTCTAGAAATTTTTAAAATTTGTTAAATTTATTTCTAAATAAGATAAATGTTGGCTACCCTATTAGCTGACACATTGGATATTGACAAATCAAGGAAGACGAAAGAAGTGAAGAGATTGACAGATAAGAAGAGGAATGTCGCCTACCTCCCGCTGACTGACAAATAACCACTGCAAGAAAACCTTGCCCAAAAAGTTACAGGAGCACTTTGATAATGAACGTTGCTTCTTTATAAAAAATTATTATGTCAGCAAACCTTTCTTTTTATATTCCAACAGTGAATCTATTGTTGACTCATTTCTTGTATAAATACTTATTGATGTAGATGAGGTAAAATCAGTTACATAAAGACTTTGTAATATGACCCTTCTTTAAAAATCTTAAAGATGTTTTCTGAATGAGATTGAGAAAGATGAAAAGAGAAAGAGATTATGAGAAAGAGAGATCGTGGGCGTCCTCAGACCCTGGCATCAAATTGATTATATATTTACTCTTGGATGATTATAGTTATTAGGGAGAACATTATCTGCGAGGGGGCGGGCGCCGCGCGGTGTCGTTTTTTTATTAATAAGGGGCGAGCACTCTTAAATAGTACGCCGTAAGTCACTTTTTGTCGGCGGCGGCGATGAGAAACGATATTATCGTCGTGGTCGTTGAAGGAGATTTCAGGTCGACTTCAACGTCGTCGTAGATTGTCGCGACATTTCTCTCTATATGTACTCGTTGAGACCCCCATTTGACGACAAATTTAAAAATCGCAAAATTACACGTTTCGTCGTACGCCCTGCAATCACCATATTCATGCGGCCATAATTCAATTGCTCGAAGAGCCGATTGTGGGACGGTTTGATGTGGTTTTGGTCCCGTTTGCATAAATCAAGAATTGATCCACAAAAACACAACGAGTTCTTTTTGCCTAATTCTAATGCGATTTAAAATAAGATTGGCGATTTTTGATTTGATAAATTATTTTCAACCCTACGCTTGTTCGTCCACCTGTATCTCGTCAATCTTGAATGTGTTAATCTTTCTGAAAATATAGTCACCGCTAATAACAATAATAACGACGACCGCGCGGCGTCGTCGATCCGATAGCACACCAGAGAGCGAGTGCTCAGAGAGTTATATCGCCGATATATTTGCATACAGCACAAGAGCGAGCGCAGAGCGAGGAGGTTGGCAGCCCACGCGACCCTCGGAAATAATAACAGACGACCGGAGATCGTGGAGAGAGTAAAAGCCCACGACGACGACGCGTTTCGGTGCGATATGCCCCGTTCAAATTATATGGAGACGCAATAATTGAGACCATAAACCACAGCACGACAACGACGACCACGGGACATAACTAATTTTATTCTTTCAAGACTTTTGATTGTTTTTGTGTATACGTAAAGTATTAGTTAAGTGCACCTTTGACGCGTTACGATATGTAATTAGTATAAAGTTTCAAATCAAAAACCCGTAAAAACTTTGCACAACATTCCTTCTTCCATATCCTAAGATATGGTTACAAGTTACAACACCGACAATAAATTTGTGTTTATGTTACGACTCCTTACAAATTAACTGGAGTTGTTGACTTGAAATTGTTGTACACACGAAACGGGGTGTTTTGCAACATAAAAATAATAATAATTTTTTAAATCCGGTAAACGTGTTTATAGTGGGTTATGTTTTGTAATACTGCGTTAGTTCTGTGAATATTTGCAAAACGTTTTTAAACGGTTTCGGAACACACACACACACACGCGTAAATAACAATTACGCGTTTAATTAACCGGAATGGTCGAGATTTCAATCTGTGGAACAATGCGGATGTTTCGCTGTTGGTTAGTTATGGTAATACAGACCGACAGACTACAAAGCGGAAAATTGACGATTTATTAATATACATACACTCCAACCTAACTGAATATATCTTATCTAAAATTTCATCCAATTCATAACAAGTGTAAAATAATGTATTACCAGATAGTTTAATAGAAATTCAATATTACTTCATAAGTATAAAATGATGAACTTGTATCCAGTGAATGAGGTCTAGTGTTAGTTCGACTTTTCGTTCAATAAAAATATACCACAATATAACGCTAAATAACAATTAAAACTAGCACTAACAGTAGAGCTAGAACTAGAAACATTCGGGTTTAGCCGCACGTCTCTCAAGACGGCTAAACCCAAATGATTCTAGTTCTAGGTCTTCTTGTGTTAGCTCTAGTACAAAACTAGAACTAACACTAGACCGAGAAATAGAAACATTGGGATTTAGACGCATGTCTCCCAATACGGCTAAACCCGATGTTTTAGGTCTTGTGTTAGTTCTAGTGATAGTGCTAGTGTAAAACTAGAACTAACACTAGACCTAGAACCAGAAACATTAATGATGTGATGATCACTTCATATTTAAGTTGTCGATTGTTAGTCCTGATTACTGACACATCGACGAATGGTACCTGGTTCTCCTTTTCTTAGTCCATGGTGAACATTATCTCATCCACGTATCACAGCCATAACTTTGGTTTCCAATGACTGATTTTTAAGGCCGCTTTGTAAAATTGCTTCGTATTAAAGTTGGCGATGACAGGTGATAACGGCGATCCAGCTTACGTAAGTTGGCAGATGAAACTGTACAGGATGGGCCAAATTGGACACTTTTAAAGGCAAACTCCTCTTTCTATAAGAGATAGAGGGAAAAGTCTGAAGCTCGATTTTTATAAGAATCTTAATGGGGAAAACCGCATATCGAAAAAAAGTGACATTTTCGAAAAGTCATAACTTTTTCTTATTGAAAAATCTTCCTTTCTGTGAAAACATTTCTAAAGCATTCGATGGAATAAGTTAGGTTTCCCTCAAAACAATATTTTAGTAGTTATTGACAAAAAAATAATTTTTTTAAATGATGATCGAGGAGAGCATAATATTTCCTTTCCAAAAATATAGCACACTTGATATCTCGTTCAAGTCTTCTTTGAAAAATACAATTTGGAAACTTCAGATTTTTAACTTTTTTGTTTATGAGTATCTATCTGTCAAATTTTGATTCAAGTTGTAAGTGTTGGTGCTTATCATTAGAGTATTTCTTAGTTGTCATCAACTTTCATAATAATGCGACAATCTTTTAATGATATTTTTAGAAGATTGCGATATAATCTACGAACTAGACGTCAATTCGAAAAGAAAAGATCAAAAACATATACACCGAATGAAGACGAGGAGTTAGAAGAAGTAGTAGTTTTATGGGCGGTGGAAAATAATCCACAGATATCAACGCGGAAATTTAGTGTAACCACGGGAATTTCAAGAACCAAAGCTAGGCGGATTTGGAAAAAATTCAGATTTAAGCCATACACAGGAAAAAATCGTGTCGTGTAAAAATTTTAGAGTAGTTGGTAAAAAGAATTAGAGTAAAAATTGTAATATCACATGGTAAAAATAACTCTAATGTACACTATATTTAATATTAATATAGAGTTCATATATTATTCACTTAATAGAGTAGTTTTTACAGTTCTCTAAAGGAGAGTTCTTTTTTACTTATGTTAGTGAAGTTATGTAATATATAAAACATTAAATTTTACACTAGACGTGTACTTTTCCTTCGGGTACTTCGTAGGCACAGCACTATTTTGCTCGGGATTACTCGTCGGTACCACGTGATCAACATGTGGTGTGATACAGCTAAAATTTAACGGTCATCTACTAAACGAGTCGGAACTCGATAGCGTCTCGAGACCTGATTTACGCGATATAAAAAGAAACACGATTATTTTTATTTTAATTATGTTTGCCAAAATAAAACATTCATGATGTGAAATTAGTGGAACTTCCGGAAGATTTTACATACAAGTTCCTTGTGAAGATTGGTAAAAATGTGCAACTTGGTGCAACTATACAAATAGGAAACTTATAGAAGACTCATTAGATGCAGTTTTAATGGTGACTCGGTGGAAACTTTAAAACGAATTAAGTATTATATATGTTATATGTATATAAATAGAATTTAATTTTTTAAATTTAAGTTATAACAATATATTACAAGTAAAAATAAAAACAAATATTTTATAATTTTGATTTTTATTACAAACGTAAAACTTCCCTAAAAATACTCCACTTCCTATTAAAAATTAACACTAATAAGTGTAAGATACACACTATTTAGTGATATTTTGTCAATTAATAGAGTAAAATTAGAGCGAATTTTTAATAATTTACACTGATTAGATTAGAAATGTATCTAATTAGAGTCACGACAACATCTAGTTAGATTACATATAATACACTGCTATAGAGTAACGATTTTACACTATTTAATAAACACCATCTTCTCACTATTTAGTGTAAATTTTTAATCTATTCACCTACACTATATAGTGCAAAAAAATAACTCTAAATAAATTGGACCGATCTGAACCATGTTTTAGAGTTGATTTTTACTCTATATTTTTTCCTGTGTACAGAACTAGCAAAGTCCATTACCTCAGACCAGGAGATTTTGAACAGCGCATGAATTTTTGCCAACGGTTCTTGGGAAAATGTGACGAAGCACGCAATTTTTCTTTAAATTATATTTGGACAGATGAAGCGTATGTGAGTAGTGCTGGCATTTTCAACCGCTACAATTCGCATACATGGGCACAGCACAACCCCCATTTAATTGTGAAGCGGAGGAATCAAGGAAGGTTTAGTTTTAGCGTATGGACATGGATTTTTAGAGGTCGAATTATCGGTCTATTTATTTATCATCGTTCCCTTAGCTCCGGATAATATTTGGATATATTAAGGCAACAAATCGAAACTGTTGTTGTCGCAATCATTTTTATTTAAGTCAATAACTACTGAAAGAGAGAAAGCTAACTTATTCCATCGAATTCTACATAAAAAGTTGCTTTGGAAGTGTTTTCACAGAAAGGGACATTTTTTAATAAGAAAAAAGTTATGACGACTTTTCGAAAATGCCCTTTTTTAAAAACACCCTGTATCTCTGAAACCGTAAGTGATATCGATATGCGGTTTTCGCCTCAGACAAAAATCGAGCCTCAGACACTGATATCATTTTTCCTGTATCTCTTATAGAAAGAAGAGTTTCCCTTTAAAAGTGTCTAATTTGACCCACCCTGTACAAATTCTGGGACGTAACTCGGCAATCCTTCTGGTATAAGTTTCTCTCATAGACTTTCCACGGCATCTGTTACCTCCACTTTGGCAAAAGCTGATTCCACGTCCAAGTTGACTATAAGTCATATGAATCCAGAAAAATTTAACTTGTTTATATAGATGAGGTAATTGCGTTTATGGAACCTTAGTAAACCATAAATCCTGGGTACTATTGGTGTTTGTACAAGCAAGTTTTTCTGTTCCTGTGTTGGAATATCCCTCGACTTGATCAGGTTCTTCATCGTCTTAATTATTTTATCTGTGGTATCTTCTTAATATTCCATTATGTGCCTGGATCCATCTTGTGCTCGTATTCTTTATGATAGGATGACTTTATCAGTTCTCTTATACTTCGTAAAGCTTCAGTCAAGTTGGACTTTGGTGGTTTTGTTGTCACTTTTGCGACATCTTGACTGTCTCTACTTCTTATATGATTTTTTTCTTTTGGAACTTGCCATGACATCCGAAACATCAAACAATATTTTCATAGACACACGGAGTAATTACTACTAGCTAATTCTCAATCTGTGAGCTTTTCCATAAATATTAGAGAATAGTGCCGTGGTGGTTCGGCAGTATGTATTTCAGGAAGTGTGTTTTTAATATGAATGTTGTCTTTCAAGCAGTACCTACAAAGCGCAAAATTTGCATGACACCATAAAAGATTTAATTGTAAATAAAAAAATTCACTGTTTTGGAAACTTTTTCTTTCCTAACTTTAAATTGAAATAAAATTTAGAAAGGAAAAGGCATACACACACATTTAAAAAAAGTAAAAATCATAAAAGTGTAATTTTAAAAGTTAGTCATCGAAGCATATCCTCGTCCACAGTGTTTCGCTTTCGAAGTGTCTTCGTCGTCGATTTCAGCGTCACTTCTTGCGCCCCGGTTACGACTATAATCGCCGTCTAATCGACGACGGTCGCCGCGAAACTTTCCCGCCGATGTTCGCCTCCTTGCTTCTTCTTTTCCACACACACACTCATACACAGAGCAAGAAGGATCTCCCCGTTCGATCTAGGCAGCTTGTCTCCACCAGAAGACACCTGTGCTGCTCGCCGCGCGTCGTCCGAAGAAGTAGCAGGAGATCCTTCGACGCGATATCCGACAACGTATGGTTTCTATAAATATTCCCCCCTGTTGTGGGGGGAAACCCGGTGAGCGATCGAAACCCATAACACTTTATCAAAAAAAAAAGGGAAAAATGAAGAAGTTAAGAAATAAATCTTCTTTTATAAAGCTAAAGTTTCTTTTTGTGAAAGAAAAAAGGCAAAAAATCATCATTTACGAGAAACCGTCTTCTTCTGCTATATAACCGGAGTTCGTCGGGCGTCAGTTTCCGGTTCCGGTGGTCGGTAAGGTGAGTGGCGTTTGCTGATGGCTCCGATATGAAACGTTGTTGGTGCGGGTCACCGCACACGCAATTAACATTCGTCCGGACGTCTTCGCCTCCCTTCAACTCTTTCCCCTTCAACACTTCTTTTAGAACCAAAAACTTCTTTTCACCTTGCAAAACGTCGAAAAAGATAATGAGAATTTCTTAGCTTTCTTTTTACTCACGTCTGGGAGAGCGTCAAAAGAAAGTTTTCGGTGTTACTGCTTGAAACGAGACTGGTTTCTTCTAGTTCTTCGTCTATTAGCGAAGAAGTAGAAGAAGGGACAAATTTTCATCGCGTTTTAATTAGCCGTAGCGCGAGATGGTAACGGTGATGACGATGGTGACTTTCTCCTCCATCGTGTGGTGTTAGGAAGTTACGCGAAGAAGAGGCAGATCTTGACGGCTGATTACCGTGCAAAGGAGCGCGTTAATCTTCATTAAATTACGGCTAATAACCGCGGGAACATCTTCGCCTGGTTTCCACGATGGAAAATCTCGCTCGGATTTATTAATTTTCTCGATCGTAACATATAGGTTAATTAAATTTTAAATTAATTGTGTGATGAATAAATATTTTCCAAAGTTTTCTATAAATTATAAAATCTCTAAATTTTATTTGAATGACGTTTAAACAAACAACATCCTATCTCATAATCCTTTAATTAAAAAAACACCACACTGTTCTGGCATTTGCATAACTTCTTTCCCATCGCTGACCTCGGGTGCAGAAGATTTATTCACAATAGCAAATGAGGTCATTTAATTAAAACCCTAGACATCACCAGAAGCAATGATCATTTACTTTATTTTAATTCGTTAGAAAGTAGCTTTTAGTATATACTTTTTACTATGAAGAAATTTTATTTACCCGACAATCTTAATGATTAATTTTTAAATTAAAAGATAAATAATAAAATTGCGCAACATTTTTTTTGTAAATGCTGATGCATAACGAGTTTTAAACAGTTGATGGTTGAAAGTAATGTCGAAATAATTGTAACCCGTAAAAAGAACAGGATACTAATTTTTCTGGGTTAATTACTTCTTCAGATAAAAAGATAATGAAGAGCACTTCCTTTTCAAAACCTTTCCTACTGAGAGTTTCCCATAGTAATATAACAGTTAAATACTATAAGTGTTAAATAATTTGATAATAAAATAGTTCTTTTCATACCAATGCATTAAAATACTCAATTACTATGTGAAATCTTAATCTCTTGAGTTCATATAAAGAATTCTATTCAAAAACTAATTGTAAGCCAAATTATTTTATTAAAATGATGTCAATTTGTTAAATCCATAAAAGGTAATAAATGTTATATTTATCCTTTTATATAATTTTAATGTACCTACAGATAAAAAGTTTGTTGACTTGTTTATTTTTGTTTGTCAATAACGAATAATAATAATGATAACTAACTCGATTTGAAATATCAGTTTGGCACATCTATGTTAAGAGAATTCAAACAGTGGCCAAAAACGTCAATCACGTTAAACGCTGTGCTTAAAAGATAGCATTTGCTGTCTATATGATTGTTAAATAACGTAACTCTTAAATTACTTTATTTCCAAATTCTCAGCTACTATTACTACACAAAGTGTATGGAGGACCAAATACTTTAAACTCAGGTAATAAAGGAACGCATATAAAACATGGTATAATAATAAGCAAAGTACTCAGTAAGATTGATTTTCAATGCTCTAAGCTACACAAACTACGTGAGATGGTTTCAACCCCATAATGGACCTACATGATGAATCCACCATTTGAAGTAGTTGCTCTCAAGGGGTAAGTCGGCTTCTTAACATGTCCAGAAAAGGGCGAAACTTTAACTTGTCTTATTTGTATGTCAGCAAGTGGAGTTTACACGCCCTCAATGATTGAATTAGGATTACCACCAGGAGGTTGAACTGTATACATATCACTAGATGGATAACTGCTGTGTCATGTATTGTATGATCTGAAAGGTTTGCAGAAGTTTTCAAAAAAAGACTTCCCGTGTCACATCGTGTCACTCAATACATATTAAGAACTTGGGGTGATCAAAGCTATATTTAATAACATATTGTTCTTACTAACTTCAACAACTACAGAAACAGGTGGTTGATCCATCCAGATCCACGCCTTCTAGTGCAGAGATGATATCTGGAGCTGAATAATTGAAATTGACTTCGCTTAGTACAGCAGTTAAAAAAGACATCTTTGTCAGTGGGATGATAAAAACGGTGTGATTTCAGCCAACTTTAATGATGGCACGCCGGATAGAAGATTTAATGAGGTAAATTCTGCCATTCCAAGGTGTGATAACTAACATCGGTGGAGGTGAAAGAACGGTGTCTTAACAGAATCTCCATATAAAAAGAAGAAGTCAATTTCAAGTTTAACCAAGCTCTTCATTAAGGTCCTATTCCAAGTAAGGTTAGACAAATCTTGGTGAAATGCTGACTCACTCAGCAGAACCAACAATCAGTTCCTTAATAAACTGAAAACAACAGCAAATGGAGAGTAACAGAGTAACAAAACTGTTACTAACGTGTATTATTATTGATTTTAAACGGTTCATTTCATTACCAATTTTTGTCATTTAAAAGGCATTGATATTTTAGAATCGATTTTAGAAGAAAAAATCATTTTCCTCAATTAAATGTTCATTCAATGATCTTTGTTTCAATACGTTTAACGGTTTTTTTCTTTCTTCATCTTTTTTTATGGTTATGTTTATTTGGTCGCTGATGTGTGTCCGCCTTGCGGGTTATTTCTTCACTTTGTTTCCGAACGCTGGCAACTTCATGGGCCGCGTAACAGCGCATAATGAAACGGTTCGGCTACGGTTCAGTTGCTCGCGGATTAGTTCCGCGGAAAGCGCTCCGCCCCAACTCCTATAACCTCCTCTGTAGTAAACAGAACCGAGACGTTCAACTTCGGTCCATTGAAAATCCGCTTCTGTCAATTTCGCCGCCACTGGACTTTCTAAAATGCCTCTTGTCATTCGTAGAAAGCTTCCGTCAAGTATCCCCATAGTTACTATTTTTTACTTACATAATGGTGTCAATAAGCATATTTTTTTAAGCTTTCTTTCTCGCACTAATTCAAAAAGGTTATCGGGTCATCTTAATTAGTATCTAAAACCGTAACTATAAAAGTAGTTAATAAGCCCTAGAGATGCTTAAATGCTTTGTGCAGTTATATATTTAATATGTGTGAACCCGATGGTTTAATTGCGAATTAAGACAAAGTTCCTAACGAAACCTAACTGTTCTACGTTTGTTGGTAACCTTGCGTTCATCCGAACAAAGCCCTTCCCACGTTCGTCGGGCGAAATTCTCTCATCGTTTTTTTTTAGAGTGTTGTACTTAGATCTCGTCGACGGCCGTTTTCTTCTTCCCGACTACGACGACCGGAAGTTTCATAATCTGCGCGGTGCTTGCGCCGATTCGGGCTTTAGCACTAAAACCATGCTGGAAAAACGGTAAGGTCCAGGGGAGAAGGGCATTGTACTTCGTCACATCCGATTCCCAGGAGTCGCAACTTTTTTTTCATTTTGCATCAGACTCGGTCG